TAGGGATACAGAGAGAAACAAGACACAGCCCCTGCCCCCAAGGAGACATGTAAGCAAATAGTTATAATCCATGGTGGCAAGAACAAAATTATAAGTGTGTAGATGCCTGGAATGCAGTGTACAGGTGGGAGTAATGAATCTTTTTTTAGTAGGGGAGGCATTGCCCAGAGAAGGGCATATGTGACAGATGTTATCTGTCTTGGATAACCAGGAGTATAAGGTTTAAAAGTTCTTTCCAGGTAGAGAAAATCAACAGGAGAAAAATCCTCCTGGTTTCAGTTTCTAGCCTCCTGGTTAAAATCCTCCTGGTTTCAAGCTTATAGCCATGCACATAGTAGATGCTCAATAAATATCTATTCTTTGGTCAACCTTAAGTCCACAGCACAGCACCATAAAGCTCTCTTGCCAATGATTTCACACACTTAGTATTATCCCCAAATGAACATGAGAAAATTTTGCCTACGCTAGAGGTTTGCCAATAGATTAACATTTTGCACCTCATTTAAGCACCTCTCACTCAGATTCTTTTTCCTCAGAATTAACTTTCCTAACCTTGTCTGATAGGTGATTTAAAAAAAAAAAAAAAAAAAAGATATTCCAAAGCTCTTCTTAGCTGAATTACTATGGGATTACTGTGTGTGCATAAAAGATGCAACAAGCTTCTACAGAGAATTAATGGGAACATGAATAGCATTTCCAGGTTGTGCAAAAGACCTACCTTTAAATGATGATGACACTGGCACTGCAAACCAACCTGAGGATTTGGGGACATCTCCAAATGTTCCTTCTGCTCCTAAGGCTGCTTCCCAGGAAGACTGATAAGATGATGCTGGTTCTATAAGAAAGAGGCCGACTCAGATATAATCTCAGAATGGCTTTCTACAACTATCCACTCACCATTTCCTTTAGCCTTCTTTCTTACCCTTTTTTCACAGGATATATCATTCCCTGACATTATATTATTTATGTTTGTTCTTTCTTTTTCCCCTACTGGATTGTAAATTCCACCAGGTCAGAGACTTTGCCAGTCTTATTCACTGCAGCACTTAATAAGTATCCTTAATAAATATCCTTCATGCATAGTAGTCACTTATTAAACACCTGTTGAATAGTGAATAGGTTATGTGTTCATCTAGAACCTTGGCTTTCTTCTTTGTACACTCAACATGCTTGTCGTTAGTTGTCAACATCTAACTTCTTTCTGGGCTGTAATGTTTATTACAGCAGGGAGAGTGTCTATCTTTTCTAATTATCCCCTGGGACTAACATGTAGTAGATGCTTAATAACTATTGAATGAATAGATCAATGAATGAATAAACGAATCAACATAGGAGGCTAGAACTACATGGCCTTAATCTCACGAGCTCTGTTTCTCCAGTAGTATGCTCACCATTAGCATAGACATTTGGATCAGTAAATTCCAGGACTGAACAGCCCCGATTATTAGAGCAGTCAGCTCTTCCTGTGACAGTAGTTAAGACTAGAACAAAAGAAATGGCTAATGAGCAATAATCCTGCAACACTTCAGGTAACAGGAAAAAAGCCAAAGGAGAAAAATCCATGTATCAGTGACAGGGAACCTGTTTGAAATAGTTGGCCAGTATAGATCAAACAGAGGGCCTTGCCAGCCAAGAAAAGTGCGTGTCCAGTGAGGAGATAGCAGAGGTATGGGAGTCCAGTCTAACGGTTCAGAGTGAGCCCCAAAAGCCCCGTGGAAGCCATAGAGGAAGTCCTGTCACTCGAGTTCATGTTTACTATTCAGTAGTAAGCCTTCTACCATAGGAAGTCACTTCCAACCTGAAAAAGGATTCCACATGAAAAGAGGGCTATCTGTTCATGTCACCTTCGAACTAAAACCTGCTTTATGCTCAGTATACAACTGCATTCTGGAATTCTTGGCTCTCGAAAACAAAGCCCTGATTTTTTTTCAGAATAGTCATTGTTGATACCCTCAAATATGCCTTACGACATCCTTTTCCATTATGCCACACATGGAACGTGAAAATTATTTGCATGGCACGGTTAAAGAGACAAGGCTGCTCCACCTGTCAACGCAAAGGTCCAGGACAGCAGTATGTTAGGCACACCTGGAAGTCTTTTGCTAAGTAGCAATTAGGCTGAAGCTCACCGTTTAGAAGTTCTGTACTTGTGGATGTGTTATCAATTTCCAACGATCATGGAAGGATGACTTCATGCCAGGTTTTTTATTCATCCAAGAAATATTTTTTGAGCACCTACTGTGTGCCAGGCACTTTTCAAATCAAGGAACAAGACAGGGAATAAAACAAAGACCTCTCTCTCATGAAGGTTACATTCTAGTAAGTGAGACCAAAAACACAAATAAACCTATATCAGGTGCCGATCAAGTGCTATGAAAGTAAATCCAGCGGGTTAAGCAGAAGAGAAAGTGATGGTATGGATGCAGAGATGGGAGCAAGTTTATGTAATAGTGAGAGAATATCTATTAGTTTCCTATTGCTGCTGTAACAAGTTACCACAAACTCAATAGTGTAAATAAATACAAATTTATTACCTTACAGTTCTGGAGGTGAAAAGTCTAAAATGGATTGGCAGGGCTGCATTCCTTCTAGATGCTCTGGGGGGAATCCATTTCCTTACCTTTTTCAGCTCCTAGGGGCTGCCTGCATTCCTCAGCTCACGGTCCATTCCTCCATACTGAAAGCCAGAGGTAGAACACCTTCAGATCTCCTCCCCTTCCTCCACTCACTGCTCCTTCTTATGAGGATCCCATGTTTCTATTGGGCCCACCCAGAGAGCCTTGGATAATTGCCTCATCTCAACAGCCTTAACTTAATCACAGCTGCAGTCTATTTGGCCATGTAAGGCAACATATTCACATGTTCCAAGAATTAGGAAGTCAACCTCTTTGCGTGGGGCGGGCGCGTTATTCTCCCTATGACTGTAGGATTCTCTGATAAGGTGGCATTTAAGCAACAACCCCCCAGAAAGGTGCAGGAGAGCCTTGTAGATATCAGGAAATGAGGGTTCCCGGCACTGGGAGCAGCAATGCAAAGGCCCTGTGGAGGGAGTGGATGCGGCCTGCTTCAGGACTGGGAAGGAGCCCAGTGTGCCTGAGCAGAGAGAGAGAGGGGAATCACGGTAAGAGAAAAGGTCAGAGGGGTAGCAGCAGGCTGGGTGAGGTGTGGAGGGTCTGGTGGGCCATATCAGGACCACATGGATAACTTCCTTCAATCCTCACAACAACCAGATAAAGTAGCTGCTGTTATTTGTCTCATTTTAAAGTTTAAGAAATGAGGCTTAGTAAAGTACAAACAGCTCGAGGTTACACAGCTTCCAAGTGCTACAGCCAAGTTTTTATCCTGGACTATTTGATTCCAGAGTGTTCACACATGACCCCTCTATGAAGCTGCCTCACCATGTTCTGAAATTTGGAGGGCCAGCGTGGAAGGGGACCTGACCATCCTGGTTTATAGGAGAGAGAAGATCCACCAAAGGGAAGAAAATATCCATGTCCTTCTGAGTCACTACTTCAGCTGTGACTCAGAAGCCATATTGGCGGGGCGGAAAGCACAGGAGCAAGGCCCAAATAGCTCCTACCAATTTCTCGTGTGACAACAAAATTAAGATCTGTGGTTGCTAGTATGTAGCTAAAATTAAGGCAGGTAGCCTTTTTGTCCTTCAGGTTTACTATCTATAAAACGGTAATACAGAGTCACAAATGTATTTTGCTATTGAAGAATAAAAGAGAGATATTTGGACTGATAGGAATTTTCAAATCAGAAAAAATGGGACTTTGTGCTGTATTAACAAAAGATTATCTACGGCTTCTCTATAATAGTAAGTTCTTTTGGTGCACGTGTGCACATGCATGCATGTGTGCACGCACGCGGGCACCCCCCCCCCACAGGAGTGCGTGCATAAATTTTCTGATATTTGATTGACAACTTTTGTTAGAAAGGCACTGATTACCAGAAGGGCTTTTATTTTGCATTGCATATATTAGTTCTCTTCCTGTAGCTCAGAGTTTTTGCCATACTCCCTGGTAAAAGATGAGGAGTCTTGGGATGATTTTGCAGGTTGTGTCCCTAAGGGGCTCCTGGGAAGGATAAACGGTTTCTAGAGATTTCTTAGTCACAGCGAAGTCTTTTTATCCCCTTCTTCCCTGAGTCCTGTGACCAGTGAGTGCAGTGCATTTAGGGGAGAAAGTCAGAACCAGTGTGGTTGGCATTGTTGCTAGAACAGTACAGCCATGTGGACTATTAATAAAATTGTATGTCTATAGAAAATTGGGTAATTTAAAAGCAGAGCTATGTGTTGCTTTCCAAACACCTTCTTGGTTGTTTAGAATAGAATTGTTAAGTGTGTGAGCTGATTCTTTAGTTTCCAGCATTCACAGCTCCCACTCACGTCTTTGAAAATTCCTTTATGGCATCTACTCACGGTAGTCAAATTGCAAAAGTTAAATGATATACACTAAGAAAAAATGGGCCCCCTAGTGGCTGTTGGTGCTTTTGTCATCATGTCGGGAGTCAGGAATCCTGGAGGGACTCGCATTGTTCATGCAACCATGCAGAAACAATACACGGTACTGAGTGTTAGAAACCGTAAAGCATCCCCCTTAAAGTGATCCATATCACAGCTCCCTGCTCCACCCTGTGGTGCATCCCCCGCCGCCCCTATTGCTTTACACGTGTAGCTCTGTGGAGGAGGACCACATCACCGCATAGTGACGTCCTACGTCTCACGTGTCTTTTACTCCTACCCCATCCTGCCCCCGGTGAGTGTTTTCCGAGCTGCAGAGCTGCCCACAAAGAACAACAGCCCTGAACAACCAGGACAAGTCCAAGGGAGGTCTGAGAAGTGTCCCATGGGAGAAATTTTGCCTCCAGCCTCCATTGTGAACTGGCTCAATGGAGCAGGAAAACACCACAATGAGGGAACCAGAGGAAAATGGCCTTTTGTGAAAGTGGAAAGATATCTAGGTGTAGACTTTCCAATTTAAAGGTATGCAACGATACGGTTATTATAAATTCAATACCTCAATGTTTAGACGTGGCCCATGTCCAAGCCTCATCTCGTTATCTGGCTTCAGCCTTCAGTGGAGCCAGCTCTGCCGGGAGGGAGGAGGGGCCGAGAATGAAATTGGGAAGCAAAAGTTGCGTGCTTAGATTTTTCCACTTACTAATTCCATGAACTTGGGCAGCTTGCATGCCCTTCTGAACCTCGGTGTCCGCATAAGGAAAATGGGCATAAAGGCAAAGGTCCCCAACCTTTTTGGCAGCAGGGACCGGTTTCGTGGAAGACAATGTTTCCATGGGGGCTTCGGTGGCTGGTTCCGGCAGTAATGAGAGCGATGGGGAGCAGCAGATGAAGCTTGCCCACTGCTCACCTCCTGCTGTGTGGGCTGGCTCTTAACAGGCCTCGGACAGGTACCGGGTCTGCCGCCTGGGAAACCCCTGCTGTAAGGCACAAGTGAGGTCATTCATAGGGAATTACTTTGTAAGCTGTGAAATGCTACAAAAATGTAATCTGTCAATATTAATAATGGGAAAAAACAAGATCAGTGCATTGGCCTTACACTCCTCCAATTTATTTGTTTTGTTTAAATGTAACCTCTTTGCAAAAGAGGTTTAGATATCTTGTCATTATTGATGTCATTAGAAACCAACTTGTTCATATTATTTTTAACTGACTGGTAATAATGTAATAGTGCAGACTTGCATTATATACAATGGAAAAAAAAAGTACTGACTTGAAATAGTTACAAGGTTTAAAAACTATGGGACTATTATGGACAGCTGACCAAGGAGGGGGGTTGGTTGAAGTTGAGCTGGTGTCTTCCTATCATAATCAGAGTTAGGCATTTCTGTCTATAAAAGGTCTATTTTCCTCATGTGCAAGCTAATTTCTCTTAGACTAAGGCAACCATGTAATTTTTCCCTAGTCATTATTTAAATGTAGCACAAAATATGGTGCATGGCATGAGTAACACATTAATTCAAAATGTTTGATGCTGTGTAATGATACCTGCAGGTATGCATGCTACAAATTTACTTTCAGTATTTTTAGGTATTGCTGTTCTGTGAGCATGACCTTCCTCTTGTCTTCATTTATTTGTTCTCTTATTCCCATTTTTTTTTTCTGCTTGCTATTTTTCCCCTCTCTCCCTTTTTCTAATTCAGCTCTTTGTCTTTCCAAGACCAACAGAAACTTACAATTGGTCACATTCAATCAGATAAAGTGCTTTAGTCAGTGTACCAGCTCGAACTAATATACTTTGGATGGATCCTTTGCTTTTGAACCCTGATCTACAATAACGGAGCTTCTCTAATGTTAGACTTGGAATATACTGTTAGGCCATGTGCTGTAGAGGGAGGGATGCATACATGTGTGTTTGGGAAAAGAGCAAACATCCACGTTAAGAAAAAATGAGGCAAATGCAGTTATCCATTCAACACACTCTGAGTTAAACAGGAAAGCCGTTGAACATACTAGAAATACACACAGGTAATCTAGCAAACAAGACATGCTGACATTATGAATTGGTTGAGTGACCTTTGATGAGAATTAAAATGCTACACATAGCTCTAATTGAATATTTTTCATTTTGTCTTCTCAGTCAGATAAATCTGTGAAAAGACAGAAGCATATGTAACCTACATCTTTTCCCTTAATATTATTGTGACTTTGAGTTTTCTCATTAATTAGAGCGATTTTCTCCACATGCTCGAATTGTCAGGGTATGAACAAGAGGAAATGATTTAACGGTATGAATTATTGCAGCAGTACAGAACATTCAGAAGTAGATAGCAAAGACCTTTTATATTTATTTTCTCTTTTCATGAGCAAGCTTTCAGAAAAATAGATGGACAATTCACATTCTAGGACTAGGAAGCCTCAGTTGCCAATTTAGTGGCTTCTGCATTTCCAGCCCTGAAGTAATATATGCTATCTGCCCTCCAAAAACACAGTACTGGAGTATAAATTTGATTCTTATATTGCTTGGGACCCAGCTTTAATATCTAAGGATTTTTCATATTCTTGTCACAGGCGCTGTGTGCTTTTCTTCCCCTGTCTTTCAGCTCCAGCCTCCATCCTCTTCCTGATCTCTAGGAATCCTAGTTTTTTTCCTCTCTCTATTGTCCCACTCTTCTTCTTCTAGCACCTACCAGAGCCCATTCAGTGCTGGTCACACTTGCCTCAGGAACTTAAAACTCCCCTGGGGAGGCCCTGGCCAGGGCTCTCTGTCCTGCCTCTGAACTATCAGCACCTCTGCTCCGGGAATGAGATCAGTGCTGAGCTCGTCAGAGCAGCAGCAGGAGCAGATCTGAGAAACTGGGTTCCCTGAGCATCTTTTCTCTTCGTTCTGAGCCTTACAGAGCTGCTCACTGAAGACCTTGCCTCCGGTGTTGGCTGAGCATCCCCCCACACGCTGAACAACAGGCTTCATTAAAGGGCAACTCATTACTCAAAAGCAAGTTCTTCACGCATTGACAAGGTTATGACGGATCTTGTGTTACATAAAAAGTGTTTATGAGCTCCAGAAAGAACACATCTGCTTCTGTCTCAACTCGGAGAGACTCTACCATTCAGATGCTACTTGCGTTTGGCAAACCAGCTCTCATTCTCATCACCCAAAAATTGAAAGCCTACTTATATGAGGAAAAACTTCCAGTTAAAAGTGAGAATATATTCAGTATGATCATGTCAAGTGGAGTCATGAAATCATTTTTCCATGAAATTGTTCATTTTAAAATTGGACTTATCTGTTTCTTTAATACATTAAATAAAATGTATACTTCTTGACCTAATAAACAGCTATTTACTTTTTCTAAGCTTTCGACCTCTCCCTCTTCATTGGCCTTTTCTCTCCCTTCCAAAACAGTCCTCTGCTCATTCTTTGTCTCCTTTGATCTTCTCTTTAGTCAAGCTTCTTGGTCTCCCCACTCCATCCTGCAACCACTCCCCACCTCCCACTTTCTGACTTACCTCCATTAAAACCTTTATCTGGAAAGTCAACAATGGTCTCTAAGATGCTCTCCTCTGGGTAATTTTCAATCTCCTTATTTGTTTTTTTCCTGAAGCATTTCAGGGTTCCATTTTAGTTCCTCTTCTCTCCTTAGACTACATTTTCTTGTGTGTTTTCATTCATACCCACAACATCTGTATTAGTCAGGGTTCTCTAGAGAAAAAAACCAACAGGATATATACATATAGATAATATGAGGAGATTGTTTTTTTTTAATTTATTTACTTTTGGCTGTGTTGGGTCTTCGTTGCTGCACGCGGGCTTTCTCTAGTTGTGTTGAGCGGGGCTACTCTTCCTTGCGGTGCGTGGGCTTCTCATTGTGGTGGCTTCTCTTGTTGCAGAGCACGGGCTCTAGGTGTGTGGGCTTCAGTAGTTGTGGCACGTGGGCTCAGTAGTTGTGGCTCATGGGCTCTAGAGCGCAGGCTCGGTAGTTGTGGTGCACGGGCTTAGCCGCTCCGCGGCACGTGGGATCTTCCTGGGCCAGGGCTCAAACCCATGTCCCCTGCATTGGCAGGCGGATTCCTAACCACTGCGCCACCAGGGAAGCCCTTTGAGGAGATTTATTATAGGAATTGGCTCACATGGTTATGGAGACCAAGAAGTCCCATGATCTGCCATTTGCAAGCTGGAGGGCAAGAAAGATGGTGTGTAATTCAGTCTGAGTCTGAAGACCCGAGAACCCCGTTGGTGGGGGGGTGGGGTGAGGGTCTGGCAATGATGTAAGTCCCGGTCTGAGTCCAAAAGCTCCCCATAACCAGGAGTGCCAGTGTTTAAGAGGAGGAGGCAACAGATGTCTCAGCTCAATCAGAGTGAGGGAATTCACCCTTCCTCTGCCTTTGTATTCTCTTCAGGCCCTTCATGATTGATTGATGCCCATTCATCTTGTTGAGAGTGATCTTCTTTCTTCTCAGACCTACTCTGCTCAGAGTACGGATTCAAATGCTAATCTGTTCCAGAGACGCCCTCACAGACACACCCAGAAATAATGTTTTACAGGCTAGGTGGGATCCCTTAGCACAGTTAAGTTGTCACAAAATTAACGATCACATCAAATATCACCTAAATGTCTATGACTCCCATATTTATAGTTCTGTTCCAGACCTCTTTTTTGAGTCCCCAAATTTCATTTCTATATGCCTATCAGGCATCTCTGCTTAGAAATGCCATAGCGATGGCATCCCAAACAGAATCCATCACCTTCTACAATGATCCTACACCTTACCCCCATGATGCCTCTCCTGAATTTATCCTATAAATGACACTTTCTTAACTTAGCTGCCCAAGCCATAGATCAGGGTATCAGCTCAGATCACTATTTCTCCTTTAAAGCTCATATCTTGTCAATCCCTATATTCTGTTGATCCTGCCTCCTAAATAATTCTCATTTTAGGTTCCCATTTCTATTACCATGGGCACCTGTATAGTTCATGACCTTGCCCATTTGTCATTATAGGTCACTTTCTGATTGCCCCACTTACAGCCTTACCTCACTATCCTTCACAAAAGCTGCTGAAGTGACATTTCTAGTGTGAAAATCGGATCCCTGCCTCTACAGCTGAAAATTCTGTGGCTTCTGGTTGCGTTCAGATGAAATCTGGAGTTTTGCTTGACAAAGTCTTCCATGATTAGGACCCTGTCCAACCTCCACTCCTACCTGTCTCACACCTTCAACCCCTCTTCTCTCTTAACACTTTACATTCTGGAAGTAACGAGCCACTTTTAGTTTCCACTAACGCTTGAGGCATGCTGTTTCTCGCCTGGCATGCCCGGCACGTTTGTCTGCCCATTTTTCAGGGCTCAGTCAGACACTGCCTTTATGCAAAGCTATCTTTTTTTCCCCTTGAAATCATATGTTTCCAACGTACTTAGACCTTCTTTTATAACTGGAAGGATCCTTTCTGTCTGCCTCTGTCTCCCTATTAGATCGTAACCTTCCTGGAGGCAAGGTTATGTGTTTCCATCTACGTATTTGTACATACAAGTGTCTAACGCATAGTAGGAACCCAATAAATATTTGTTAAATCAATAACTGAATGAATAAATGAGTGAAGTTACAAAAACAGCCAAGGACTCTGAAGCTATGCGATGCCAAACTTTTCCCATTTCAACTTTTTATCTTGACTCTGGGCAGACACGTCATTAATTAAATTCTGGGTGCATGACAAGCCTTATAGAGCATGATTATATTTCTATCTAAGATGAAGATAAAAATATTTGCATGTAAATGAGACAATACCCAGCTTCAGTGAAGCACTCTCTCTCAATACTCCAGATAAACTCCATTACCTGTTGGGAAATAAATGAAAATGAATCCACTGCAGTAATGGGTTTTTAGGCCAATTTTCCAAGCAAGAGCTCATTTCTTGCTGAAAGTAAATATGCTTCTCAAGCTTATGAAATCAGCTATTGCCTATGTGTACACATGCACTGAGGACGAATTCACATCTCGTTCAGGATCCATGAGGTTTGAAATGAGCCCTGAGAGTGAGCATGACGTCTGTAGGTTTCACAAATTCTGTCTGTTCAAGTTAACAAGCAAACCCTTAAGTTTCTGAATAATTTGAGTTATGAAGGCATCTCACATTTGAAGCATTTGCTCTTGTCTCTAAAGAGAGAACTATTTCTTAACTCTAGAAATTGGAGTGTAAGGCAAAATAGCAGAAAAACGTCCTCATTCTTTTGGTGGTTTTAATTCTTTTTTCTTTCCTTCTTCATTCATTCCCTTCTTTGTCTTTTCAGTTCCTTTCTTAAGTCACCAATGGCAGGGTATGCGAATTTACTATGTGCCAGCACTAGACAAGCACAGTCATTTTAATCCAATTTAATCCTCTTAACAGCCCAGTGAGATGGATCCTACTATTATCATCTCCATGTAACAGAGGAGGAAACTGACATAGGCAGGGGAGTCACACAGCTCATAATTGGTAAAGCCAGGGCTTGAACCCAGCTGTGATTCCAAAACCTTGCTTATAACACTTTGTGGCCCACCTCATCCAAAGCATGGTTGAAATTTGTGAGATGGAGAATTATTCCATCTCCCTTTGAACCACCTCACACTCTGCTGAACAAGAATTGCACATATCCTATTATTGTTAGATGACCCTTTACACATACTTTATAAAGTAGGCAGGTTTATAGCTAGTGGTACTGATTCTGGTTTGTGAGATGTAAAAACTGGCTCAGAGTAGTTAAATGCTCCAAAGAAAATAAAGGGAATAAGGAGGGAACTTTTTAACTTCCTGATCATATTATTGACAAATAGCAAAACAAAACCAAACTCAAGAAAATGGAGAAATTTCAGGTAAAGCAGCACTGGCAAACTGTTTTTTTAAAGGATAAGATGGTAAATATTTTGGATGTTGGCTTTGCAGTCTCTGTCTTATGTAACTGCTGTTATAATGTGAAAGCCGCCCTGGGCAAGATGTAAATGAATGGGTGTGACTGTGTTTTAATAAAACTTTATTTACAAAAGCAAGTGGTGGGCCAGAATTGGCCCATGGGCCATAGTTTGTTGACACCTGCTTTAAGGTATCCAGATATATTCCTTACATATGTTATCAACCCAGATATTTGGAAATGATGGAGACTGATAGCATTTTAGTCCTATCAAGATTATTTTTGTGCTACCTAGCTATAGCCCCGCTGTTTAACTGGATGTGATAAGAGTTCAAAAGGAGGTGATCTATTTAAACTTTAGAAGTGGCTGTCTGGCAATTTGTGACATCAAACTGTGAAGGCTCAGAAAAGCTTTTGGCAGCTATGGAACTGTGTTCGTACAATTTGGAATTGCAATCTTAGCTGGGAGGATTGAGATCCAGACTCAAATATAGATAATGCAAAAAAGGTGCTATAAATCTTTGCATTGAAACCAACAAGCAAAGTTTCGCACAACAGTTTTATTGTCCAAACTGATAAATTGTGATTTTTTTTCCTCCAAAAACATTAGAAACAAGGAAAATCAGAGCCCTACACACAAATTTCAATTTCATGGCTCTTTATTAAGGTTCTGCTTTATTTTAAAAAATGGTAAGCCTGTTTTGAGGTAGTTGTTGTTGCTGCTTTCAGATGGATATGGAATGGTAGAGAAATCTACGGACACAGAGTGTTCGAGTTGGTAGCTCCACTCTGCCACTTCCTAGCTATGTGCACAGTTCTTAAACCTTTCTAAGCCTGCGCATAAAGTACATACATAGCACAGGCCTGGCACTTGCTAACTACTCAAGAAATGTTTGCAAAAATGATGACGTGTCTCTTCTCCCTGATGTCTTCTGCCTCAAAGGTGTGGATCTCTGTTTTACTGGAAATAAAAAGGAAAACTGAATCTAGATGTTGAATTCTAGTAACTGGCTCCGATACTGAGGTGAAAGGCTTGTGGCTATTCCAAATAATTGATCCCATAGTCTACAAATAGCTTCCTCATCTTTACAATCATTCATTACCAGTTAGTCTTTGTCCCCAAGTTTTCAGTGATACAAAAGAAAATGAAACTCTCTTCTTATGGCTTTTTGGTATCATTAAAAAATAATTTGTATGTAAACCTGGGGCACGCATCTAATACTGTTTTTAAAGGACATATGTTGACCTTTGGTGTATTTGTATCCGTGTGTATGTGTGTGTGTGTGTGTGTGTGTGTGTCTGAGAGAGAGAGAGAGAGACAGAGAAAGAGGGAGAGGGCAATTGTGCTTGCTCTGGGTAATATATATAATGCAGAAGCAGGGATGGGGAGAATCAAGCTAAAATTTCCTCCTGTTTGCCCCCTTTACTGATATTTCAGGACAGGGAAATACCAATATATAGCAGGAACCTGTGCACATCTTGTTTACTTTATCTCTGTCCTAGGACTGGAGGCAGAAGTTTCCAAACCCTTATATCCCAACTCTAGATTCCACAGGATTGAAGGAGAGATGAATAATGTACAAAAGACAAACACAACTATAAGGCAATTACAGGTCGAAAAAGAGCTGTCCTGAAACAGGGTGATGCGGTAGGGCGTATACCTGCCATTTTCTATTTGCCACCCCCATCCCACTCCAATCTCTGCCTTCCTCTTGCTGTCTACTTTCAGTTTGGGTTCAGTCAATGGGAGGCACCAGCAGAAGATGGGAGGGTGGGAGGAGAGAGCGGGAGTATTTTATTCCCCAGTCCTTCCTGCTTTGGCCCTGAGACTGTGGCAGGAGCCACATCCCTCTGTGACTGTAACTCCTGGCAGGCAGCCCCTCACCATGGCCCCCGTTCTCATGGGGCTCAGGTCAGGCAACACTTTTTCCTCCTCATTCTCCTCAGATGGGTGGGAAGGGCAGCTTTGGTTGCTTCACTAAATCATATTTATTCCTTTAATCTTGCTTGCATTTCTGTAAGGAGCCCTTTCCTTAAAGTCTCTTCATTTGAACTATTTGGAAGTAAATTCTGTTTTCTGTGACTGATATTAGGAATAATTTGAAGGAGGCCTAATATAAGCAAAATATTTGGAATTTTATTCTATGGCCCCACTTTCTAGATTATTTTGCTGTATTTGTCTCAAACCTTTCTCCCCATCAAGTCTACTGTCATTTTTATTTTAGAGACTAAATCATGTTCTAAAAAGCTAAAGTCTACACAGATCTGCCCTTAACAGAGAGCAATGAGGTCCCATTTCTACATCATCAACCAATCTAAACAGTTTTTGTATAAATGAATTCTTATGTGAATAATGTTCTAAAAGTTAATTCTTCATACAATAATATCAGAAAGAGAAGCTGCAGTGAACAGAAACTTCATTTTTCATTTTTTCCAATGCAATCATTCTCATTGAGATGTAGGTCTCAGAATCTATAACTGTAAGACTTTCAATCTATGACAATGTAAATTTCTGTAGTAGTATACAGAGGGCTGGGGAGGAGGGAGGGAGAAGGAGAGAGAGAGAGGGAGGGACAGAGAGAGGCTTCTTTCCTCACTTTATAATTTGCAGAGGTCTTTTGTTCTCACTCTATGGCTAAAAAAATGGGCTCCTCTTTGAGTTTTTGCTGACTGTGCTGATTTTGCAGTTTCCTGATTCAATCCACCCTTGGACCAAAAAGAAAAGCTAAAGGAGGGAGAAAAAGAATTTCAGAAACTCACTACTGCCATACTGGTCATTTTTCAAGTTCTGACTTCCCAATATTCCAACTACTATTTAATATTCTAAGTCCTAAGTAGTTTCTTTTTGTACATTTTTCAGTTTTTACATGTAATCAATAGGAGACATAAGCTCAGTGTTCTTACTCCTACTGACTAGAACTGGAAGTTTGCCACATTCATTGATTTTTGAATGTTAAACTAACCTCATGTTCCTAGAATAAACAGCAATTGGCCATTATATATTATCCTTGATATACATATATCAATATATAAAATATATGTCATATTTATCTACCTATCTATACATACGTATTGCTAGACTTGATTCGCTAATCTTTTGCTAAGAATTTTTGCATTTATGTTCCTGTTTCCCTCCCAGCATTACTGCTTTCAATTCAGTTTTGTCCTCTTCAAAATTTTTCTTGTGTGTCAGCTCAGAGATGCATTTAAAGGATGTTTCTTATTTATAGTTAATCAAAAATTTTAGTTATTTGAGTTGGGATGCCTGTGCAGGGTATCTATTCTGTCAAACTGCCAGAAATAGAGCTCGTGTTTTTTATTTCATGTTATACTGCTTCCTATTTTTATGTGTCGTCTGTTTATCGTGTCAAGTAGTAAAAGATCCCTAGAAGTTTTTTTATATAATAAAAATATTTCATATTTGTAAAACAACCTGCAGTTTACAAGTAACTTTCATGTTCAACCCAATAACTTTATGAGGAATTCAGGGCAAAACTTATTGTCTCTATATTAGAAAGGAATAAATGGGCTCAGAGAAGTTGACCAAAGTAAGTATGAGGTAGAATTAAAATGATTATTCAATTCTCTTTCTTCTCTACCATATTGCATCCAGGAAGGCCAGAAAGAAATTGCATCCTATAGCAGAATCTGGGTAAATTAAGTTGAGGGGGCTGGACAATGGGGAACAATTGGAGTTTCATGACATTGATTTTACAGATCTTCATTAGCTTCTATGTTCTATTGCTAATTGAACGTTCATTCAGTAAAGTGTCTTGGAGATGCTTGACCACAAAAGTATAGCCTTTTAATTTAGTCTGCTACTCTCAAAAAGAGGAGTTTATTGGTTTAGCAGTCTTGATAATTGTATTCAAGTCCTTAAGAAGTTGAGAAAAGTAGAATTAGATTTGCAGAGATTGCCTTTGATCCTGAAATACCAATCAGGGAAAGGCGCTGGCTTTATTTCAAGAGTAGGAAAGACATCTTTGTTGAAACTCAAGTTCCAAATATAATTTGGAAGTCTTTGGTCTAATAATTTTTCATAAGATGGATGTTTTCTTTTACTATCTCTGATGATAATTCTGTCCAAAGTTTTAAAATTGAAACAATATGCAATTCTCTTTTTAAAAAAATTCAATACGATATCCAAGCAAAAGATACTGTTATTACACAAATAAAGGTTGATGTCTCCAATGATCCCTCATCAATTTAATGACAATATGATTTTCCTCACTGTATTCACCAACTATGTCATGATACCTTGAAGAGGCTAGTTTGAGAGGGGCAGTGCAGCTCCTTTTGTTTTACTTAGTACTAACTTAACACGTGCTGTGACATATTGTAATGTAGCTAGACAAATAGCATCATTAGGTTATACTCAAGTCATTAAAAAAAGGATGTTTGATTAAAATATTTATCTTCAATACTGATTACTTCCTTCATGGTTTTTAAGTCTAGCTTCTTGATGATGCCTAGCAATTTTTTTTTTTTACAACTTTATTGGAGTATAATTGCTTTACAATGGTGTGTTAGTTTCTGCTTTATATCAAAGTGAATCAGTTATACATATAAATATGTTCCCATATCTCTTCCCTCTTGCGTCTCCCTCCCTCTCACCCTCCCTATCCCACCCCTGTACGTGGTCACAAAGCACCGAGCTGATCTCCCTGTGCTATGCGGCTGCTTCCCACTAGCTATCTATTTTACGTTTGGTAGTGTATATACGTCCATGCCACTCTCTCGCTTTGTCACAGCTTACCCTTATGCCTAGCAATTTTTATGTAGGTCTTGACCCAAATGCTACTACTAAGCTTGGACTCTTGTAGCTTAGTGTCTAATACACAAATGCACTCCTCTACAATTATAAATAATTCTCCAAATTCCCTCTTCTAACTTATTGCAATGATTACACCTACAATTCCACATATATTCCAGTGGGACACAAGCCATACTTCTTCCCAGTTATTGCAGCCATCTCTGAGTCCATGATGTCCGTCTAATGTCCATTCTTCTCAATCAGGTCTTGATATGGCTCCTTGTAATCGTAATCCCTGCTACTATATTCCAAATGAGAAATTTAACCACCCCTAACACATCCAATATACAAATAGAAGAAATATTGCTTAACAAAAGCTTCCATTTAAAAAAGATTATTGCATAGGAGCAGGGGGCAGGGAAGCAGCACACAACGACACTATCCTTGCCTTGCTGTATTAGAAAGCAGGTTACTTCTGTTGGGAGACTTTCCTTTATGGCAATGGATAATCTACCAGGTTAGTCAGTTTGGCTGGTCTGACTGCTATGTACCAGAGAGATTTGATTTGCTCAGTGTTCTATGTGGTTTTGGTTATCAGGGACATTTGTGAGGATCTTTCTATTGGGAGATGTATTCAGTTAGGCTGTGATAGCAAATAGAACCAAACATGTAAAGGCTAAACAAGTTAGAAGTGTATACCTTGCTTATGTAATAGTCCAGGAAACTCCAGTTTTGCCTTCTTCAACACATGGTTTCCAAAGTTGTCCTGGTGGTTTTCTCCACCTCTGTCTGTTAGAAGTGGGAAAGAGCATGGAGATGCACATGTAGGTTTTTTTATGAGCCAGGGCTGAAAGAGGGAGACATCACTTCCTCTCACATGCCATTACAGATAATTTACTCAAAGAACTACAACTCACTTGTAAGGGAATCTAGGTGGGTACCTGATGAAGGGGAAAAATGATCTTGGGGACAGCTGGGTTTTCTTTGCCACGGGGCTATACCTCCTCAGCCATGCATTTCCTGTTCACGGAGCATGAAGAATGGCCCCAGGCAGTGGGCAGTCCTAGATTCCTTGTTTTTGTGTTTTCTTTCTCTCTTGTTTGGGAATGGTGGTGGTGACAATAGAGCCTCCTTAAAACCCTAGGAGACTGCCTAGTAGGAACTCTGTTTGCTAGTACCTAAAGCCAGTAATCTTGCCAGTCAAAAAATAAATTAAAAAAAAAAAAGATTAGCTTTTCTATTACTCTACAGACTTGAGGGTTTTCAAGATGTAGTATGAAGGTTCTGGGCTGGTAAATTAAAAACACATGTAAACTTAAAAAGAAATTTAAATACCTGGAGTGTCACATCCACTAGAAAAATTTTGCTGATCTGTGTACCACTCCTGAATGAGTATTACATCGACACCATCCTATTTTTATGCAAATTCATGTTTTTATCACCCTGGATGACAGTCAAGATATTTGAATCTGGATCCGCTCCCATTTCACAGCTTCACTCCTTGGTGACTCTTCAGCAGACACTGTCCATCCTTCGGGGCCTCATCTTAGTGCGTCTCACTTTGGTCTCTGTCTCTGTAGGGTGGGCTGCAGTGATGGGACAGGGCTACATGTCCTTCTGCCCCAGGTGCTCCCAATCTCCTTTGTAACCTGGGGACAGGGGAATTGCCTTAGTCAGGTAGCAGTGCTTGGTGGACATTGAGGAGATCTGACTTCATCATTCTGGCGACACACTGGCCGGCTTTCAGTGCTGTGGGGACCTTTGGAAGTCCAGAGCATGCCCAGCGGCAGAATGGCCTCTTTCCGCAGCTGTGCCAGCTGCTACTCCTGCCCCACTTTCCGAAGGCTCTGCTTAGACCACATTGTTTTTCCTCCTGCAGCACCTTATTGAAGGTTGCAAGAAGTAGCCAGCCCTCCAAAATCTCAAATTTTTTTTCCCTGTCAAGCTGGAGCTCAGTGAGGATAGCACATCATCTAAATAACTTGTAACAATTAACTAACAGCTTTGCTACTGAGTTTCCTAACTCAGAACGGAGAAAACCTCCCTGCCCCCTCTGCACCTGAATGTAGCCAGTTCCACATTTTGGATCTATCCGCCTCACTGCCTGTGTTCCAGTTACTGATTTAAGCATCAATTAGGGCTCCATAGGTTGCCGACGGTACAAACCCTGCCCTAAGTAGCTAAACAAACCAAAAACACAGATTCACTAGAGAGCAGTTCTATTTCAATAGCAACATAATTTGAGGCTCCTATGTAATATAAACATTTCTAGAAGCCACATTAAAAAAATAAGAAATAAATGAAATTAATTTAAAAATCTAATTTATTTAAACAAATATTCAATATATTATAATTTCACATGTATTCATTATAAAAAATCATTACTGAGCTATTTTATAGTCTTTTTCACCCATGCCAAGTCTTCAAAATCCAGTGTTATTTTAGATATACAGAACAATTCAGTCTGGACTAACAACGTTTCCAGTGTTCAATAGCCACATGTGGTCAGTGGCCACCAACATGAGATAGCATAACACTGAAGCACATTAGGGTGGCTCTTTGAATCCAAGGAATTGCTGAAAACCATCTCTCCTTTGGTATGATGGCTTCATTGTTGTTTGCTTCTGATCTGGTTTCTCAGTGTGCCAGGGTACATGGCTATCAGCCTCTCTGGTTTCATGCACTCAAAACTTCATCATCAGAGAGGAGAGAACTCCTTTTCACTTCCCTACTACTATTCTCCTAACTACCCCAGCTGTAGGTCAAAAAAATCCTTGGAAAGAACTCTGACTGTGCCCATTTTCAGGACAATCTGGGGGCCCCTTGATGAGGTGAGGTAATGTGATTGGTCCAGCTTGGGATGGCAGTGGAGTACTGTGATTGACAGCTTCCAAGCAAACCTCATGACTAGAGCAGGGAAGGAAGAGCTGCTCTAAAGAAGAGGGGTTACTGTAACCAGAAGAAGAGGAAAAGAAGTGCTGGGAAGTCAAAAACAATAAATACATACTACCATACCTAAGGAAGAATAAAAATGGCTATTTATGCAAGTACTATGAGTCTTTTTCTTTTTAATTTCAAGCAACAGCTTTTTAAAAAAAAAAAAATTATTTATTTATTTTATTTTTATTTTTGGCTGCGTTGGGTCTTAGTTGTGATGCGCAGGGTCTTTTTTGAGGCTTGCAGGCTGCTCTCTAGTTGTGGGGTGCAGGCTCCAGGGCATGTGGGCTCTGTAGTTGTGGCGCATGGGGTCCAGAGCACGTGGGCTCTGTAGTTTGTGGCACACAGTCTTAGCTGCCCCGCAGCATGTGGGATCTTAGTTCCCCAACCAGGGATCAAACCTGCCTCCCCTGCATTGGAAGGTGGATTCTTTACCACTGGACCACCAGGGAAGTCCCACTGTAAGTCTTTATTCTTGGATGAACTGAACACGAGTACAGATAGTAGTATGTGTGGTTGCTATGTAAAAATTCCACAAACATGTTTGGGATGTCAGGAAAATGAAATTAATAGCTTCATTTAACAGCTAACTCCTCAATCAACCTATGATTCACTCTCCTTTTTGTTCCTTTGTTAAAAAATAATCAGGAAGTGAAATACATTGACTTGGTAGTTTAATATTAAATCATAAAATGTTGTGTCCCTAACTAGGAATGAATGTGTGGAATGTCTGAATCAAGAAACAAATTTGGGATCAACAACATTTTTTTTTTTTTTTTTGGAAAACAGTCCTGGTGATTGTTTTACAAAAAAAGAAAAAGATGTCAGAAAACCATACGATTCTGATAAGCAACAGATCCTACCAATTCCAGAACCTTGCCAATTACTGTCATTTTGCAAAATCCTTCTTGGAAAAGACTGACTGATACATAGTGAAACCTTGGATCTCTTCAAGTCAAGACAGAACAGAAACTACTCTGGCTGCTATGGCAGTTAATCATTTTAAGGTTAAGGATGATCACTGTTTATCTTCATCCACGGGACCCATGAGTAGCTTCCAACGGTATGACTGTGTGATGTTAATGTTCCTCGTAAATGTTCTGGCTAATGTAAAGGAGCCAGTTTTCCCCAGGATAAATGGTGTCCTAACACACTGTAGCTGAAGATGCTCCTATGCTTAGTTTAAATTGGTACTGACTGCAGAGAGTGTCTTGAGAATTGGTGGAGTTGAAAAAAAATCTTTTATATAATTTTTTCCCTTGAGTTCTTTCTGTCTCTTACATGCTTTATTGGGAAGTCAAAAGGAAATGTCTACCACGGTACTACTGTCAGCTCTCCGGCTCTCTGCATCCAAGGACGTGGCACCTGTCGATATGGAAGGCTGACTCTGCTGTATCATTATATATAAGGGACTTGAGCATCTGTATATTTTGGTATCTGAGGGGGGCCCAGAACCAATCCTCTCCCACCACTGAGACTGAGGAATGACTGTACCCTCTTCATCACTAGTTAAGCTGTTCTCTAAGCTAAGTGGGCAACAGCATCAGCTTGGTGCTGGTTAAAAAGGGGGGGAGGGATAAATTGGGAGATTGGGAATGACATATACAAACTACTATATATAAAATAGATAACTAATAAGGACCTACTGAATAGCACAGGAACCTCTACTCAATATTCTATAATGACCTATATGGGAAAAGAATCTAAAAAATGAGTAGCTATATGTATCTGTATAACTGATTCACTTTGCTGTACACCTGAAACTAACACAACATTGTAAATCAACTACACTCTAATAAAAATTTTTAAAAAGTGTATCTCAGCTGGCCCCACTGTTAGAGAACCTGAATATATCTGGGTAGGATTTAGGAATATGGATGTTTGATAAGCCCTGCAGGTGATTCTAATATAGATCACACTTTAAGAAAACCAACTTTAGCTCATAAGTTGTATCAGTGTAATTCTCCATTCTGATCATGTATGGAGGAATTAAGTGAAATGATAATTCCCTTGATGTCAGGCTCTTTCTCAAAACTTCTTTAATCTGGGGGTTCCCAGGGAAGGAAGGCCCTGGAGGAGCTCTAGGTGTCTGTGAAAGTCCTGAGATGGTACATAGCATGTTGTACACTTGTGCACTTTTCTGGAGCAATGCATTTGTAACTTTCACAAGATTCTCAAAATTCTCAAGCACAACATTAACAGCTCCCCACTGACCACTTAAGTACAAAACCCCCAACCTGGCATTTAAGACATACAGAAAGCTATCCTAAATTCTCTTTCTAGTTTTTCTCCCACTCCTCTGCACATATTCTAACTAGTCAGAGACTACTGACTGTTCCCTGAATTTGTTCCTATTTCTGTACTGTCTTAGGCAGTTTGGGCTGCTATAGCAAAGACTGGTGGCTTACACAACAAACATTTATTTCTCACAGTTTTGAAGGTTGGGAAGTCCAAGACCAAGGGACAAGTAGAGCCAGCTGTCTGGTAAGATAACTTTCTGGTTTGCAGACAGTGGTCCTCTCATTGTAGTCTCACATGGTGGAGAGCAGAGAGGGAAATCTCCTGTCTCCTTCTCTTACAAGGGAAATAATCCCATTCATAAGGGTTCCACTCTCATGACCTAACTACCTTCCAAAGGCCCCTTCTTCAAATATCATCACATTGAGGAGTCGGCCTCAACATGTGAATTGGAGGCGGGGCAGGGACACAAACATTTACTCCATAGCATGTGCCTTCACCCATGCAGTTTCTTCCACCTTGGATTCCTCTTTTTGTTGAAATCCACAATCGTCCATTTTCTATTTTCAATTCCATCTCATCTACTTGAAAGAGGCCCTCCCATTTGGGTATAATTGCTTCCTCTTCTAAGACCCCAAAGAATTTGGTTTGAATCTGTTTTGTATTAGAGTTACTTGCTTCCTATTTTATACTTCTAACTATAGAAGAATTGTTTCTTAATTATCCCTGTAACCACTCCTAGTTCCAGCCCTGCACTTAGCAT